CACCTTCCATATTATCGCCGCGAGAAGACCACAGAGGTACACTGACAACGCTATGGCTATGACTAAGAAAGCATGCATTCAAGTGCTCTATGGTTGAGTTACTAATACGCTAATGCAAAGGAGTGGACCATGTTTGTAGTGGAGGACATTGATAGTGGTGGCTGCAAAATGTAATTATAGAGGTTTTAAACCAGTCAGTAGGCTACAAGTGTCTACTGGCTGTTAGCCATAAAAGCTTACAGCTGATTTAGCAAACCCAAGTGGAAACAAGTGCTAAATTACGTTATGAGATTTAATGTAACTAATTAAAATACAAACAGCTTGAGTCTGAACAAACTTGTTTATACTGTTCTATATGCTCATCATATTGGCAGATCGATCAGTGTAGGTCACTGCAGGTAGACCAGCTATATTACAGTGTGTGTGATCAGAGGAAGAAACCTAGTGTTCCATCTCACTATCTCTCACAGACTAATAAGGAGCAATTTGGGGGCAATCTTTTCCTCTGTCGGGTTTCTCAAACACAGTCTTCATTGTAATGGTGTTGCAAGGTAGTAAAGGTTCTTGTGGAGGAATAATTTGGAATTCTACATATGGCATGCTTTTGCATCACAGCTACCATATTCCTTGTCTAGCCTTATAAAGACTATTTTACTTGTTTTATATTTATTTTATAATAAAAAACTGGCCACATGGTGGCACTGTAAGCCCATATTTCAACATCCCCATAAAGCTTAATTTTATTTACTTTTTTTTTTTTTAATTATTGATAGACTTCTAAGTACACATGTGGTTATGTGGACACAGTGCAAATGGTTGTGGGCAAGAGTTTACAGATAGTGTAAAGTCAAATTCCATAGTTGGAGTATAGGCCCCATCATTGAAAACATTATCAGATGGCACATATATTTCTTTTTTGTAAATCAATGTTTATTGAGTTTTCTAAGCAAATTTTCACAAATACAATATCTATGATACACATACATACAGACACACATACAGACACACATATACAAAGACACATACACACCTACATACACACAGACATACAGACACATACACACATACATACACACACACACACAACACACATGCATACAGACACACATACAAAGACACACACACACAATATTTTAGTCACCCTCCTGTTTCCTACCTTTTAGGTGCAGGAGGGTGACATTCCCTGAGGTCCAGTGGTGGTTCCCACTCTGACTCCCTCCTCCCACGCGGTCTGTGAGTTAGCTGGGAGGAGTGACGTGCGGTTACTTCCTCCCAGCTCGGTGTGATGTAATCACAGGGGGCCCGGTCCGCGCTGTTAAAGCGCCCAACGCTGACCGGCCCCCTGACAATCCATCTCCATCGGGTGGCCCTGGCAGTATGGGCCACCCAATGGACCCCTTGGACGGCGGCCCCGGTGGTTTGCCGCACAGGCCGGGGCTGCAAATGGTGATGGCGGGTACCCGGTCGCAGCTGCGACTCCTGCGACTGCGGTATGTAAGCCGCTGGCCATATAGTAGTCGTGGGGTCTTGTACCAAAAGAAAAGGTTCTTGTAATCACTAATCAGACTCTTAAAACATGCTCAAGATTGCACAGTGTTGTGTTAGTTCACAATTTTCTTTACCAAGAGTCTTTGATGAAGAGCCATAGAGGCATCATTTTGTGTTGTACTCTACCCTGTTTTGTACAGTGCCAGATGAGCTTTTAAGTTAAGAAAATAAAGGTGTTATTTAATACTTTACTGCACATTTTTTGGCATATATTTTTTCCCCGCTATATGAGACAGACTTCTTAAGGTAAGTTGCCCTACAAATTATGGTTTTGATTCATGTTGTAATCCTTGTCAGTTTAATGTGAAATGTGACAATTCCCTTATTGACATAGTGTATTATTTCTAACCATTAGAATGACTCTGTCACCATCTGGGGTCCTTTTTTATAATTCGCAAAGATCCCTGACTGTGACTGCTGAACTGGCAGAGCAGTAGGTGAAGAGAGCAGAATAAGGTAAATTATACTTACCTGAACCGGTCCCTCACAATTGCCGCCATCTTCTTCCTGCTGATCCACGTCAGCTTCTGGTGCTTCAACTCTTAGGAGCCAACAACAAAGTTGTACTCTTGCTCGTGACAGAAGGATCCTAACCTTTTCCGCCTCAGATGCCCCTTTTAGCACAGTATTGCCTCAGGAATAACTTTGCCTTAGTTAATGGCTTTTACTCGACCTACAAGTAATGAATAAATGCACATGTTTAGGATCAACTAAGGTAAAATGATTCCTGAGGCAATATTGTGCTACAAGTGTAGCATGCAGAGTTGAAGAGTTCTATTTATGTATTTATATATGTGGTACTTGAAAATTAATGTAATTGAATCCATTACCAAATAGGGAATCATGTTAATCAAGACCTTATTGGTTTAATCAAAACTAGTGATAGTATTAACCACACTCTCTTATCCATACATTCAGACTTACCACACAGCCATAGAGACAGATATATCAATATCGAACCATAGATACAAGTATGCATACACTCCTGGACATACATACAGGCATGCCTACTTTTCACATAAGTACATTCAGAGGGGCATTTAAATACTCTGCCATAGAGGCCTACCCACATTCTCTGATACAGATACACAAACAGGCTTTCCAACTGAAACATCAATATCCAACTGGTGGTTATCATACCAATAATTCCCTTACAGACATAGATAACCACACTCTTCCACACATACAGACAGGTGGCCATACCCACACTCTCACATACCTATATAAAAAACATTCAATAAATATAAACAGGCAGTCATAACAACATCCTACTATGCAGGCATACTCAAACATTCAGTTAGTGGCATTTACAAACACTCTCCAATAAATATGTATATGGAGACAGACAGGGGGTCTGGTCATGCTCACATACACAAAAATAGTAGAGTAGGAAAAACTGCCACTCCTATTTGAGCAACAGTATGCAATAAAAAATTATGCGATTATGCAATTAAAAAACACTCAAAATGTAAAGTGCATTTTTATATCAAATAAGTAATAAATAAGGTGAGAAAAGGAGCTGACTTATAGTGCACTACTCTTATGTAAATGTTTAAAGTGTTAATTATACAAATAGTACAAATTAAGTGTATAAATCTTATTTTACAACTATATATATTTGCAATAACAACTAGCAACCAATTGTACTTTGCATCAAGAAACAAACTGTAAAAAAATAAATAAATACAATTATAGTGTTCAAATAATATAAAAAACAACAACAACCCCCCACCCCATAATTTTATTTACCAGAATATTCTGTTAACCTAAAAAAATAAAACAGATATACAGTTCAATATCGTTTAAAGTCTGTGCCGTTCAGACACACTCCCATATGGATCAACTCACAAAGAGAGAGTTAAAGTTTGGGGATACATAGTTGATCTGATGATATCTGTTTATTTTCAAGGTTAGCTAAATATTCTGATGAGTGTGTAAGTATAGGCTTTTTTTTTTTTTTTAATATTACTTATGCACTATTAATATATATTTTTTGCAATTCTAAAAAAATATATTTTAATTTATATTCCTCACACCACTAATGTACCTATTTTAGACTTGCAAGTAATTGCAAAAAGGTTACAGAAAAATTCTGTTTGGATGACTCAATGCATCTAAAGAAAGTTAATGTAAACAAAGCCACAGGACCTGATGGTATTCACCCATGAATACAAATCTAAGTGTGGAAATAAGGAACCTCAGTTTTCATTCCTCACTAAGGATTTATTCATTTTCAGGAATTATACTGAAGGATTAAAGAAATGCAGATATGGTTCCAATATTCTAAAAGTATACAGAATGTTTGCCCATAAATTATATATATGTGATCTTAATTTTGTGGCTGGGAAAGTATGAATAATATTCAGAAATTAATTGGGAACAAGAACGTCAGTAGAAATCAGCATGGTTTTATTAAACATAGATCTTGCCTAACTTACTTGCATTCTACGAAGAAGTAAGTAGAAGCAGAAATCCGATTGTTGCAGTGGATGTTATCGACTTTGATTTTGGCATTCAATATGAATCCACACAATTGTAATTCATTGTTTATATATAAATTCATCACACACATAGATACACATATTTTATCATTTTTAGCCACCCTCCTGTTAATATCCCCTTGTTTGGGGACATGCTGTTGGCAGAGTGTGATGGGAGTGTAAGTCTGGAGCTCGGTGTTTCCCTGTGAGGATCTGAACTCAATTCTTCCCAAACTGCCAAAGGAAAAAGGACCCAGTCAGGCTGTTAAAGGGGTACAGAGCCTGGCCGAACCCATGTTCAGCAATACTCATTGGATGACCCTAATTGCATGGGCCACCCGATGGGCCCCGTCAGCAAGTGGGCCCTGGTGATGCCGCAACGGCTGCATCAGCGGTATTTATGTTGTTGACAACAATGTGCAATGTCATTAATCAATGGCTAAGGCAAGCCAGATATATATTCATGCATAAAGAGGGACATTCCTTCTTGGCCACACCTTGAAGATGTTGTGCAATTTTGGGAACCTGTTTAAAAGAAGGATACTATGCCACTAGAAAAAGTACAGATGTTAGCTACAAAATTAAAAAAGGAAATTAAAAATTTCAGTTATGAAGAAACGTGAACAAATGTAAATCTGTTTAGTTTAGAAAAGTTAAGAGAGCATTATACAAATATATTTGGAGCCAATACAAACCATTGTCTGGAAATCAATTTATAAACATGACTATACTTAGGACACGATCACATTTAGACTGGAAGAAAGCAGATTTAGTCTGAGGCAAATTAAAGGCTTATTTACAGTAAAAACAATACAGATGTGGAATACTCTGCCTGAAGAGAGGATTTTATTAAACAGATATTTTTTGCAAAAACATAATATTCAGGGATATACTGTTTAATATGTTGGGTAACACTTTCTTGATCCCCCAAAAATATCAAATTGCCACAATGTGGTAGTGAAGGATTTTTTCCTAGTTTGTTGCAATATTGGACAGTACTTTAAACCTTATAAGTAACTATATAATGCAAGAATAATTCTATTCTGCAACACTTTCTAGAACTGAGAGAAAGATCCTTCTAGTAAATCGATAAAGATGTTAAACACATACAAAGTTATGTACTAATGTTAGAATTCAAAGTTAATTCAAAGAGAATATTAAACCAGAGTAGAATGACTGAAGAAACCCACCACCCTTCCAAAAAAAAAAAAGAAAAAAAAAAAAAGGTGAGAGACAACATTAAAACCAGCGACAGATAACATGAATAACTGATTATATAGGGACAGATGAAGTGATATATTAGGCAGCAAGTGAACTGTCCATTCTTGGCATTTACATAGTTACATAGCTGAAAAGAGACTCGCATTCATTTCAGTTGGAAGCAGGAAAATTGGGCAAGCGAAAAGGTATGAGTGACTTTGACAAGGATCAAGCAAGTGGGTCAGATCATCTCCAAAAAGCCAAGTCTTGTGGTGGGTTCCTCGTATGCAGTGGTTACCTACAATGCAGTGGCACCAACCAAAAGTGGTGCTAGGAATGACAACCAGTGAACCAGCATCAGAGTCGTGGGCACCCAAGACTCATTGATAAATGTGGGGAGTGAAAGCTAGCCCATCTGGTCCATTCACACAGAAGAGCTACAGTAGCACATATTGCATATTAAAACTTATTGCTAACCACAATAGAAAGGTATGAGAGCATAAAGTGCATCACAGTTTGCTGTGTAGTTGTAGACCAGTTAGAGTGCCCATGATGAACCCAGTCCACTGCCGAAAGCATATTCAATGAATATGAGTGTCAACTCTGGACCATGAAGCAGTGAAAGGAGGCTACCTGGTCTGATAAATCACGTTTTCTTTTAGATCAGGTGGATGGCTTGATGGGTGTGGATCGTTGACCTGGAGAAGAGATGACAGCAGGATGAGAGGAACAGTGACTATAGTGGCTTTGCGAGATGTCTTTCAGGAACTACTGCTCGCAGAGACAGGATACATTTTTAGTATTGTTAAGCAAGTAAAGCGAGATTGCAGGGAATTGGATGTTCTTCTCTATCTAGGGACAAATGACTTGGCTTGCAATGAGGTTTCAGAGGTAAAGGAAGTGTTTTGGCCAATGATATACGGCATGTTCCACACTGTTATTCTCTGAAGTTCTGCCTGTGCGTAACACTAAGAACGACAGGCGGATGTGTATTAGGAACTTTAAATTGTGGCTTGGTGAATGGTGTCAGGAGCAGAGATTTGCATAATTTCTCATGGTATCTCTTTTTGGAATGGAAATAAACTGTACAAAAAAAGATGGTTTGCATCTTTCTCGAAAGGGAACAAATGTTCTCAGTGAGCAGTTCAGAGGTTTTGCTAGGATTTATTTAAACTAGGAGGGTGCAAAAGGGTGATAAAACCTCAATTCAGGAGGGGCGGAGCCTAACCTTCCATGGAGTAAGACGCACGGGCCTGCAGCTCTCCCGCCCCGGGCTAAATATCCGCGAACATCAGCTGGCTACCGGGTGCATCTCGCCCCAAAAAAATCACCCACGGGCCCCTAAAGACCCCACACACCTGTGACAGATGAGAGGGACGAAAAAACGGAAGGAATCCACGCCATCGGTGGCGACGATGTTTCGAGACAAAGAAGACGGGCGGCCATCTTTGGCCCACAGCCAGGCAGACTCCTGCTCAGATTCGGAGGGGAGTGAAACAGACAAGACCCCTGCTACCCCCCTCACCAAAGAAGACCTCCGGGCGATGCTCCGAGAGACATCGGCAGACATCAAAGCCTACACCGCAGCAGCCCTGGAGAAGCAAATTACAGGCCTCAAGAAAGAATTGGAGGTACTGACCTCACGCACAGACCATAACGAACGCCTGATAAAGGACACTCAAACAAAGACCACAGCCCTCTACAGGGACACAGAGCTCTTGCAAGACAGAATGCTCTACCTTGAAGACGGCCTGGAGGACCTCAACAACAGATCCCGCAGACAAAACATACGCATCAGGAGCCTACCCTGAAACAGTCCTTCCAGACGCCATCCTCCCCACTATCAAAGCAATATTCCAGTCCCTCCTACCCAACACCTCAGAACAGGAAATATACATAGAAAGGGCACACAGAGACCTGCGTCCTCCAACCTCCAACCCTAACATACCACGATATATAATAACGAAACTCTTACACTTTCCAGTCAAAGAACAGCTTATGAATGCGGCAAGAACCCACCAGCCTACCTACCAGGGCCAACAAATACATTTTTATCAGGACTTAGCACCGTCCGCATTGAAGAAACGCCGGGAGCTTAAGCCCCTTACCACGGCACTGATTGAAAACTGATGGCGCTACACGTGGGGACACCCCTTCAAACTGACGGTGAAAAAGGGGGAACAAACATACACCCTCCATCAGGTAACAGATATGCAAGACTTTGCTGCCCATCTGGGGATACCCTTACGCTACCCAGCACAAGACCCTAACCACGCCACGACGGAGAATGCGAGCCGCAGAGGAGGTCCCCGTACACTCTCCCAACACGCCCGCAATCCAAGTGAGGGCCCCCGCCAACGCAACAAGAGCAAAACGACATGGACACTTGATAGGCCCAAAAGACGGCAACCGGCACTAACCCCACAACGGGAACTTGAAACCAACTCAGGGCCGCAAACCACGGACACTAACAGTGTGGTAGTATACATACCTCAATGTTATCCCAAAGTTGTACATAGTTAAATTATACCTGTTATACTTGCATGTTTACCCGAGCGAACCGCTGGGCCTAGGACCCAACACACCCCCAAGGCAGAATACCCGTAAACCATCAACAGAGCCCATAGGATGCGACAACCGCACATAGGGGACAGTTAGCAGACCCTGCCGCACGCTACACCACGAGACCCAAGATATGTTGCTGCAAGTTAGCTATGGTAGCGCATGCGACCCCACCGAGCGGAACGATCAAGGCCCTCCAGGGCAGCATACGTCCCCCCCTAGATAGTAAAGGAACAATTTTCACACTGCAAACCACTATGCGCTCAACAACCAAGCCTGAATTATCATGTAATTATGTATTATGTAATGCAGCACAAAATGCTTCTGTGCATATAGGGCATTCTGAGACCCCACACCACATCAGAGCGGTGGACAGCACCCCCTCAGCCGTACGGCTAAACTGCTCACGACATCTCTCACCAGAGACCACGGGCCGCCTAGCAGTATACATATCTCACTGGTACACCAAAGCTGTACATAGTTAAGTTACACCTGTTATATAAGCATATTCCCCTGTGCGAACAGCTAGACCCAGTTTCTAACCTACCCCCAGAAAAAAAAAAAAAACCCTGTAAACTAGCACTAGAGGCCTTAAGCCACGACAACCACATTCAAGGGACAAAAGGCAGATCCCGCTGCTAGCTACAAGCACCTCTGTGTTGGATATAGGATACTGCGAACCAGCTATGTCAGCGCATGCTTCCCTACTGAGAGGCATGAACAAGGCTTACCAGGGCAGCATGCGACTGACAGTAATAGGAAAAGTTCCCGCAATGTAACTCATTATGTATTTTACAACCAAGCCTGAATTAACCATTGTAATGCACTATAAACTGTTACTGTGTATATCTGTCAAACTCAGGTGCCACACCACACACGGCTCATTAGAGCGGTAAACAGCCCCCCTCAACTGAACAGCAACACGGTACACAACCACACACACAAGAAATACAAAAACACACCACAAACCCGCCCAACTCCCTATACCCCAGCACACAACCAACCGCACAAAGGCACCCAGCAAGGGCGACCCTATCACCCCCAAACAATGACTTACAAGGTATAATTGCAACATAGCTGTACACCTTTCCGTTCCAGCTCCAACCAACAGAAGCTGAAGAAGTTAACGAACCCACAGCCAACGGACAAACCTTGGTCAGCCCCCTACGAACAAAAAGTCGACCGACACAAAGGACCGGTGAACCAAGACAACACATAGATACCCCCAGGCCCGCGAAACCGACTCGCCAGGTATGCACATAACGATCCCACAGGACAGACACACACCCACCTCCACCAAAGCAGCCGCACAAACACATACTCACAAAGCAACGTAAACACACAACCTGATCAACCCCACCCATACATCACATCCCACTGAGATGCACCCACCCAGACACCCTGGGGCGGGGAGCGAAGGGCACGCTTACAGTCCATTCTCCACCCCACAAACACACAAATAAACTCGACTAATCTCACCCCAACCATACAGTGAGAATAAGAGGAGACCAAAACCCCTTATAACAGACAAACACTCGAACACCCTCCCGCTCGCCCAACTCCTGGCAACAGACTAGTAAGACCAGGACTCAAACCACCTATCCCCTCCCCAACACCCCTCCACCTACATTCCAACATCCGAAACAGTCGCCCATACTAGGCGGGGACTTCAACGCCACACCCTCACCAACGGTAGACAGGCGCCGCACACAAACACGAGTACACCACCAACAACCAACAGCCAAAGCAGACAAAATGCTCTCTGCCTTCATCTCAAGAACCCGCCTGATCGACGCATGGAGAGCCCACCACCCCTCATCCCTAGATTACACGTTCTTCTCGCACCCACACCAATCCCACATAGACCTGTTTCTCATTTCCCCGGCACTGGCACCCATGGTCAACAACACAAACATAGGCTCCATCACGTGGTCCGACCACGCAGACATCACTCTGACAGTTAACCTACCATGCACGACAAGACCCTGGTCATGGCGACTAAATCCCACTTTACTACACAACCCAACAATCCAACAAAATGTAGCCCAAGCGATTACAGAATACTTTACACTAAACAAGGACTCAGTAACCTCCAAAGGGTCCCTTTGGGCGGCACACAAAGCAGTAATCCGGGGAGTCATGATAAACCAAGCGACCATACACAAAAGAAAACAGGTAGCCCCCCTAGAGAAGACACTAATGACCCTCAGGACCCTAGAGGCCAAGCTCAAACTTAACCCGACGCCAGAAACAAACGAAAAAATTAAAGAATGCCAAACAGATATTAAAAAATACATGGCAAAAGACTCAACCAAAGAACTACTGTGGTCAAAACAACTATTCTATGACAAAGCAAACAAAGCAGACACACTACTCGCACGGAAACTCAAGCAAAGAACAGAACGTAAACAGATCACCAAAATAAACACACCAGAAGGGACTCTCACAGAGAAACCAAGCGAGATAGCTGGCGTCTTTCAAAAATGCTTTGAAGCCCTGTACGACCACTCACCGAAAACCCGACAAAACCCAACACACACCAACTCACTCATTGACCAA